TTAAGATGACCATTATTTCAGGGGAATTTTAGGTATGTGAATTCAAAGATAGAAACATTTGATGGTTTTAGAATAGTCCTGGGCTGATTCAATGCGGTTTCTTTTGTGTGACTTAATCCTCCTGCCAATTTGTCATTTTGGTGGTGGTGTTGTTTCCCCCCCTTTTTTCCCCATAGCATGAGTTTTCCCATACTGATAAAACTGTCTAAGGAGTGAAATATACTCCAATTTTAATCAGTTTTCCCACCCTGAAGACTTCCTAATATAATGAGGTCCCCATCCTTTGTTGCATTGTCTATTGCAGGAGTCTTCAAACTTGACAGCTTTAGGACTTGTGGACTTCAACTCCCAGAATTCTTCCTCCAGTCATGTTAGCTCAGGAATTCTGGGAGTTGAAGTCCACAAGTCTTGAACTTGCCAAGTTTGAAGACCTTTGGTCTATTGCAACATCCATTCCCTATTTTAACTGTAATTCCTATTCAAACCATACAGACATTGAGAGCATTGAGCCAAATTTCTTGTGTGTCTAATCATACTTGGCCAAATAAATTGTTCTGTTCTGTTCTGTTCTTTCCTATTCCTATTCCTATTCCTGTTCCTGTTTGAAAAAGACTGAAATGGAAACTGGTTGAATCTCAAACATCAGTAAACTTTACAATCCTAACTCCTAACCCTCTGGTTGTCTTTAGTGGTGGGACAGAATCATCTAGTGTGGAGGTTTACTTTCATTTCCCATGAGTTTTTTCTTGTTTTACTTTCTTCTGAAAATGCTAATTTTCTTAGAATAAGAGAGGATCAGTGGAGTATAAATTTGCATTAATTCACACCTGACCCATCACAAGACCCTGACTTTATGTGCGCCTCATGACACATGTGACCTCACGTGAGCTCACCATCATAAGACCTAATGACCACACAAAGCCCTTATAAGCAGAAAAACACTGACATCCCCTAAATTCCACTTGGTAACGAAACATTTGGAAACCAACCCACAAGCTCAGAGAACAAACTGTTGGTCTCAGTTAGTGCTGATAGATAAACTGAGCCCATCAGCACATTTGGAAGAGCTGCTGAAGCCTGATACTATATAGCTCCGCGATTGTTTAGCTGCATCAGGCACATCGTCAGCAGAGCAGGATGGTCGACGGTGACAAGAGGGGGAATCCGGTAAACCCCCCTGTCCTTTTGCTGCTTTGGGGTGGAACCTCCACCCTCATTAATTTACATCTAAGAAAATTACTGAATTTAGAATTGGACTTCCTTTATTTTTAGACATTGGGAAAGATGGCTCCGCTAATTCTTCTTGTGTGTGTTCTGTGTGTTTGGTTTTTTTTTATTAATCACATCAGCTGTTTTATGCTTCACAATCTTCCTTTAGGGTTTAGGGAAAGCATGGGATGCCAGTAAAACTGCAAAATATTGGAAAGAGAATTGCAAGCTGAAAAAGCAGACCATACACCCACAACCATTGTTCATGTCATCATGAAATCTCTGCAAGAACTCCACATTCTAGTTTTAGAATTTCAGACAATTTCCCCCCTGCTGGATGATTTTTTTTTAAAAAAAAAATACATTTTCTTTAATAAAATAAAATGAAAACTGGCAGAAAATAAACGAGGAGGTGAGAAGCCACCTGGGAAAGCCAAGGGAAATCATCAAAACCCACAAAAAAGTGAAAGTTAGAATATTTCGGACATGTCCTCCAGGGAAAGTTTGAAGGCAGATGAGGTCCAGGCAAAAGAAGAACACCATGGCTTCAAAATCGAAGGGACTGGTTTGGACCAAACTCAACAGCACTTTTTCGTGAGGCTGTTGATAAAAATAGGATCGCCAACATGATCGCCAATGTCCGATGATGGATATAGAAGAAGGAGAAGGAGAAGGAGAAGGAGAAGGAGGAGGAGGAGGAG